TCCCCCCCTCCCTACCTCTGCGGTACTGGATGGCCAGAGCGACGATGGCGACGGCGAGCAGCAGGGCCAGGGCGATGGCGACGGCGCAGAGCAGCAGCTCCAGCTGGCTGCGGGAGGCCAGGCGGGCCAGCAGCGGCCCCGGGCCCTTCCGAAACCCCACCTGGGCAGCAGCAGGACCCTCCATCGCACCGCAGAGGGAACCCCGACCTTGCCACCCCCCACCCAGCCCTTTCCTCCCCCCTGCCTGGCTCTGCTGTTGGGGCATCCCTCGTGGGTGCCCGGGGCACCAGCCCCGGTGAGCTGGTGTGGGGGATGCTGGTGCCCCCCCCCCGCCACAAGAAAGGACAATGTCCCTGTCCCCTTCTCTGCCGCAATTTGGCCGCCTCCCAGCACATCCCCGGGGACGGCCAAGGCTGGCTGGGCTCCCGGCCCCGCTCCCGCTGCCCACCCGGCTGCGGGCGAGGAGGGGGCCGAGGAGGACGGGGAGGGGAGGGATGGCAGGGCCGGGGCAGACCTCACCTCCACGCTGTCGGGAGAGGCGCTGCCGTCCCCCGCCGGCTCCGGCCCCTCGTCCTCCTGCAGGGTGGCACGCTTGTAGTCGGGCATCTGCCGAGGGAGGGAGCGGGCTGGGACGGGGGCACGGGGGTGGCTGCCCCCCGCCCCGCCATGCCCCCCGGCTCTTACAGCGAGGGCCAGCGGCCGCTCAGTGAGTGTATGGGGGGGCGGGGGCAGCCCCTGACCCCCCTCCTGGTGCCTGTGTCTCCCCCAGGGGCCGTCCCCAGCCCCGGGTGGCCCCAGGGAGCTCGGGGAGAGCTGCTGAGGGGGGTCTCGGGGGGTCTTGCCGGAGCATCCCTCCGTGTCGCCATGGCAGCCGTGGCATCAGCCCAGCCGACAGGTGCCACATCGCCACGGAGACGTGGTCCCCGTTGCCAGGCAACCGTTGCCTGCTGCTGCTGCCTCGCCCCTCCTCCCCCGCCTGGAACTTTCCATGCAGATGTGCACCGGTCCGAAACATCTGGAAACACCTCCTGCCCCATCCTGTCCCCGGAGGTGCCCGGGGTGCAGGGCTGGGCCCGTGTGGGGAGGGAGGGGGCACTGCGGGGGTGTCAGCTGGCGGCGCAGGACCCCCTTGCTGCGCTGGCGGGGCAGCCTGGCAGGGGCTGCTCGCCGCGGCCCGGCCGGGAGCGCTGCCGAGGACTCGGCGAAGAGGGAGGTGGTGGAGCTGAGCCAGCGGCTGTGGAGGGGGGGATGAGCTGGAATAAATCGCCGGAGGCTTTGGTGGAAGAGAATCAGCAATGCCGCTGGTCACCAGCCATCCTTAGGCTTCAGAGTTAACACTGGGGTGGGTTGTGGCTCGCCCTCCCTCTGTGCTGCAGGCGGAGGGGGATGCTGCCCGCAGGGCCGGTGCCGGGGGTGGGAAGGATGGTGGCGGGGGGTGAAGCAGAGCAAGACCCCGATGCCCGGCTCTGCCCACCGCCCCACCGCCGGGACGGGGAGGGGGCTTTGCCGAGGGCTGCTGCAGCAGAGGGGCACGCGCCGGGGTGGGTTGTGGCTCGCCCTCCCTCTGTGCTGCAGGCGGAGGGGGATGCTGCCCGCAGGGCCGGTGCCGGGGGTGGGAAGGATGGTGGCGGGGGGTGAAGCAGAGCAAGACCCCGATGCCCGGCTCTGCCCACCGCCCCACCGCCGGGACGGGGAGGGGGCTTTGCCGAGGGCTGCTGCAGCAGAGGGGCACGGGGCTGGGATGGACCGTCGGCAGGAGCCCCCCCACCAGGGCGGGTTCCTGGCGTTAGGAGGGATGGCTCGACATCCTGTGGGCACCTCCACCGCCTCGCGTCCCCCGACACGCCCCTCTCCCCCCCCCAGGTGGTCCTCGTCCCCCCCGGGCACCCACTCGCCAGCATCCATTCTCCAGCACCTCCTGGCACCCCCGAGACAGAAGCAGGACCTGATCCTGGGGGTCCTGCCCCCTCCGTGGGGCTGAGACCGGCGGGGACAGGGCCCCCTGCTCCCTCGGGGGGGGGTGCCTTGGGGGGCACCCTTCAAGCAGCATCGCTGTGCCCCGGGGGGGCTCCGTGCCCGGCAGAGCAGCTTCTGTGGGTCCATCCCGAACTGCTCCGGCTCCTCTGCCCGACACCAGGCAGGGATTTGGGGGTCGGGGGGG